GGCAGGCAGGCAGGCAGGCAGGCAGGCAGGGGGATGCATGCATGCATGCAGGGGGATGCATGCGTGCATGCATGCATGCAGGGGGATGCATGCGTGCATGCATGCATGGATGCATGCAGGGGGATGCATGCAGCCCCAGCAGCAGCTGACCTGCAAGTCATAGTGTGCAGGTATATGCTGCAGCAGCGTCAGCGAGATCTCTATAACCTGCTGCAGCAGCTGCCGCAGCAGCTGCTGCTCTGCTGCTGCTGCTACTGCAGCAATCGGCTCTGTCGCCCCCCAAAACCCTAAAACCTCGGTGGGGCTGCATGCATGCACATGCATGCACACAAACGCATGCAAAGACAAACTGTCTCCTTTTCTTTCTCTAGCTGTCTCTTTCTTTCTCTATCTGTCTCTGTCTCCCCCTCATCATCTGCTTCTCTTTCTTTCTGTCTCCTTTTGTCTCCTTTCTGTCTCCTTCTGTCTCTTTCTATCTCTATCTGTCTCTTTTTGTCTCCTTGCAGCAGCAGCAGCACCGTCCGAAGCACAAGCACCAGCAGCACCACCAGCAGCAGCAGCAGCAGCAGGAGCAGCAGCAGCAGCAGCAGCAACAGCAGCAGTTTACCTGGTTGTGCTGCATGCAGCAGCAAGACAAACTGCATGCAGCAGCCTGGAGCACACCATCACCCACAGCGGGGCCCGCAAAGCCCCATACAGCTCGAAGCCGCATGCATGCTGCAGCAGCACTCTCCATTCTGCTGCTGCAGCACGCACTGCAGCAGCAAGCTTGACGAGGCCGCTGCTGCTCTTGCTGCTGCTGCTGCTGCTGCTGCTGTTGGTGCCGGTGCCGTTGCTCGTGCTGCTGCTGATGGTGCCGCTGCCATTGCTGTTGCTGCTGCTGCTGCTGCTCCTGCTGCTGCTGCTGCTGCTGCTCTCTGATGCTATGCTGCTGTAGGGGGCCCTGAGCTCCCACTGCAGCAGCGCGAGAAGCGCACTGGGTCGGTTTGCTGCTGCCTGCAGCAACGACAGCAGCAGCAGCAGCAGCAGCAGCAGCAGCAGCA